GTTCAGGAATGTTCCCTCTATCCCTATACTTTGAAGCGTTTTAATGGGGAACGGATGCTGGATTTTGTCCAATGCTTTTTCTGCATCAACTGAGAGGACCATGTGGTTCTTCTCTCTTCTCATATTAATTTGTTCTATCACATTGATTGATTTGCGAATGTTGAACCATCCTTGTAGCCCAGGAATGAATCCCACCTGGTCATGGTGGATAATCTTTTTAATGTGCTATTGGATCCTGTTGACAATTGTCTTTTGTTGTTATTGACTGTTTCCTATGATCTTGATGAAGACCCAATATTTCATTTTTGCCCTTTCTACCTTGCCTTTGATGATGTTTCTAGGAAGAAATTGCTGTGGCTGAGGTTGAAGACATTGCTGCCTGTGTTCTCCTCAAGGATTTTGATGGATTCCTGTCTCACATTGAGGTCTTTCATCCATTTTGTGTCTATTTTTGTGTGTAATATAAGGTAATGGTCCAGTTTTATTTTTCTGCATGTGGCTGTCCAATTTTCCCAACACCATTTGTTGAAGAGGCTGTCTTTTTTTCCATTGGACATTCTTTCCTGCTTTGTCGAAGATTAGTTGACTATAGAGTTGAGGATCCATTTCTGAGCTCTCTATTCTGTTCCATTGATCTATGTGTCTGTTTATGTGCCTGTACCATACTGTCTTGATGATGACAGCTTTTTAAGAGAGCTTGATGTCTGGAATTGTGATGCCACCAACTTTGGTTCTCTTTTTCAACATTCCTCTGGCTATTCAGGGTCTTTTCTGGTTCCATATAAATTTTAGGATTATTTGTTCTATTTCTTTGAAAAAAGTAGATGGTATTTTAGTAGGGATTGTGTTAAATGTGAAGATTGCTTTAGACATCTTCACATCTCTTCTTTCAATCCATGAGCATGGAACATTTTTACATTTCTTTGTGTCTTCCTCAATTTCCTTCATGAGTACTCCATACTTTTCTGAGTACAAATTCTTTGCCTCTTTGGTTAGATTTATTCCTAGGTATCTTATGGTTTTTGTGCAATTGTAAATGGCATTGACTCCTTAATTTCTCTTTCTTCTGTCTTGTCATTGGTGTATAGAAATGCAATTGATTTCTGTGCATCAATTTTATATCCTGACAATTTACTGAATTCCTGTATAGTGTCCTTACTCATCTCTTATTATAGTCTTTGGCTTAAAATCCAGTTATCTGATATAAGGATTGCCATCCCACCTTTCTTTTCATGTCCGTTAGCATGGTAAATTGTTTTCCACCCTTTCACTTTAAATCTGGAGGTGTCTTTGGGTCTAAAGTGAATTTATTGTAGACAACATATTGATGGGCCTTATTTATTTTTTTATCCATTCTGATACCCTGTGTCTTTTGATTGAGACATGTAGCCCATTTACATTCAAGGTAACCACTGAAAGATATGAATTTAGTGACATTGTATTGTCTGTAAGGTGACTGTTGCTGTATATTGTCTCTTTTCCTTTCTGGTCTGTTACTTTTTGGCTTTCCCTTTGCTTAGAAGACCCCTTTCCATATTTCTTATAAGGATAGTTTGGTGTTCGCAAATTTTTTTAATTTTTGTTGTTCCTAGAAGATTCCTAGAAGATTCCTTCTATTTTCAGTGACTGCCTAGCTGTATATAATATTCTTGGCTGTGTATTTTTCTCATTTAGTGCTCTGAATATATCATGCCAGTCCTGTCTGGCCTGCCAGGTCTCTGTGGATAACTCTGCTGCCAATCTGATATTTCTACTATTGTATGTTACAGACTTCTTGTCCTGAACTGCTTTCAGGAATTTCTCCTTGTCACTAAGACTTGTAAGTTTTACTATTAGATGACGGGTGTGGACCTATTTTTATTGA